CTTCTGTTTAGACAAAAATGTGCTCAAGGTGGCCGAACCCGATTTTGGAAGACAACTTTCTATCATCGAGTTCATCATGATCACGCACAACTTTTCCCACTTCCTCTTTCATTAGCACTCGCAGAGCGCAGGAAGAACGACCTACCCTTCAGTACACTCATGGACAGTCTTGTTCACTGCTGACGCTGGATCGTTTCAGAGGGCTAGGTTTGGCGCGGCGTCAGCCTATTCTTCACTAACTGTGGAATATAGGTGACCATGATTGGAGGAGAACAGGATGGCGCTGCGCCTACCCCCTCTCCCCCTGGTATGCCCCGTTGTCCGCAGAGATCAACTGTTTACCTCTACACCAAGGATCAAACCGATTAGAAAAGGCGCTCTGTGACTTGAAAGACCCCTTGTAGTACCAATTAGTGAAGCGCGATAGTGCATGACAATGATAGCCCGATCTCAAACTCCGCATAAAATAGCCATATCCCCTAGATGAGAGGGTGTGTGAAGGAACGGTGCCTGGAGCACAGCCAAGGAAGTCTCTTTCAACTTCAGCTCTTGCTGGGGCTCAGGATGGCGCTAATTGGTGGAAAAGGTGGTCCTGGCTGCGCTCAAATGCACTCCTCACGCCCTCTCTCATTGGCAGGGATAGTGGCAGTACAATGAGTTTGCAAACCTGCATAACGTAGTCAATCAGGACAGCCCAAGCAGTAATCAAGCAGAATTCGGAGACAGCTGGTGTAGAGCACATATAGTACCCAAGAGCTGAAATGATCAACATTAAATTCCAGAAGTATTGGTCAAGGCATCTCAAAAGCTAATCCATTTCTGGAAAGCTAATCAATATCCATTTGAAATTCTGCCAAGGTACCTACCAAAGCAGAAGAAGTTGGTAAAAGACGTGACAGTGATCGATGCTCCAGCATCAGCCATCACTAATGCAACTTTTTGATGAAGCGGAATACGTCTATCCAGTTCACGCCATGCAGCTAACATCAAGAAGTCATCATCAATACCTGAAAATGTATGCAACTGTACAAGAGCTGGTACAAGAAGGGAGGAGCAGGGGGAGGCAGGGCAGTGCGAGAGAAACAAAAAAAACCCCCACCAATCGGGAAATTAACTTCCAAAAGATATACTAGAACCTAATGTGACGTCTCATTGTGGATTCCACAACTGTTTTTCCCCGGCTCATACTACAGACAGTCGCCAAGGCGCCGTATCAGGTAGTAACAAGGAACGTCTCTACACTCGTTGTCCCTGAGACGGAATAGGTCTGGTATAGGAATATGACACCGCGTGGGTTACTCATGGGATAGCTCAATTTGAGACAACTGTCATCTTGTTCTGTGTTGGACAGAGACACGACCACAATTGTGTCAAAATGAAAATATCTCACCAAAAGCACAGCCACCGCCACGTTTAGTTGAAGTACGCAGCCACGCCTACCACATCCCAGGGGTTTCAAGTGTAAGTCTTTGTGATTCTTTGACATTTGTTGTTCACTGCTGAATGCGTTTTCTAAGATACCATAACAGTTTCCAGAACCTGCTAAGCAATGACAAGATTGGACTTATCAGGGTTTTTTGAGGCCCTCGCACTATCGTACCAAATGCACGTACGCTAGCTAGAATGAGATGCTGATTTGTACATAGCGGTGCGAGCTCGTGCTCATTCATGCCTACTGTGCTCCTCGGAAGTGATTACAAAGGTCTTCAACAATGCTTCTCGTCAAATACTTCTCAGGCTCAGCTCATGTAAGGTTAGGCTCCTCCGAAGTACCAC